TGATTAATTGCTTTTTTTTTTTATATTTGAGTCACCTTTAGTAAGATCTATTTGTGCAATTATATAAGCAATATATTTATAATTTAATTGATTATATGATTAACAAATTTCATAAATTTTCTTCTTATAGATTTATAGAGTGTTAAGGTCATTGAGAGGTTGTTTTTTAGTATTTGACTATGATGGCTTGTTGGTCGAAGCAGACACGAAGAAACAATAGTTACAAATACAGGCACATGACTTATATATCAACATATGTAAGTGATTTTAATAAAAAGTTTTATAATTTTTATATTTTATTTATACTGCTATTTTTTTTTTTCATTTAAATATTTTCTAGTGTAAATGTAACCAAATGTGAGTTGTAAATTGGGATGCATTGTGAAAATTGCGCAAAGAATATCAGAAATGTATCATGTCAATTCAAAGGCATGAAAGTAAACTATTTATATTTTTTGTATATATAGATTTGGTAATATAATAGTTAATTTTTTATTAGGTGTTAAACTATAAACAACGGATATGGATACTCAAAAAGTTATGGTTAGTGGTCATTTTAATTTAGAAAAATTGTTGAAGACTCTCTAAAACAAAACAGGTAAGAAAATAGAGATTTTGCTGAAGAATTAGAAGTCTGATGTTGTTCATAAGAACCACCTGATACTGATAGATATGAAGTAGTTCCAGCGGAGGATGGAGAATCTCATATAGTCCAAACAAAAGGAGAAAATAAATTTGAAATTACATGCATGTTGTTTAAAGAAACAAATATATATATTTAGTGTTGAAATCTACCTGAACTATACATTTATTCTATTAAACTATCTGAACTATCATATTTTTGCCGAAAACAACATCGACCGAGATAGGGTTTGTAAATATGATGAGTAATTGTCATTCTGCTGAGTCAGAAGTCACATGTACAAAGTATGTTGAGTCAGATGTCACGTTTTAAAATATATAGTTTTAATTTTTTTTTAAATTTACACATAGAGGATCATTGTATTTTGTTTTTACTAAGAAAATTATCTTTTTTTTTCTCTTTTTGTATTAAATATTAATTTATATTCAAAAAAATAACATTTTTACAACCACTACTAGAAAACATGTCGATATAACTTGTGTTCAAAAAGATACTGAAATAGAAAAAAAAAAGTTAATAACTAAACAGTAGTATCATATCACTTATCTCCCAATAGTCGGATTGCTGAAATCTGATTTCGAACTTACTTATCTATCCATCCAATTATGTCTCTGTCCATTTCATTCCCTCAAAATAGTGTAAATTAAATAACAGTTAGGAAGAAAAATCGAATAAGCAACCCCTTTCATCTGTTTTGTACCTTGACTTTAGCATAACCTTAGCAAGAGCCGACCAAATAATTCTGAGACAAAAATGCAAGAGAGACGTTAAAGATGTTCAAATAACATGGTCCATCGATCATATCGTGGGTAAATCACCAAAATAACATGGTCCCTTGTCCCATTAGGTTACCCTAAAAAAAAACAAGAGATTTGAATACATCTCCATTCTCTTGATCTAGCACCAACGACAAGACGGTCTTGAATCGCAAGCCAAGAGATCAAAGTAAACCTGGGCATTGCTTACCTCCAGTCTTCGAGTTTGCTCCCATGTACCCACACACATGGCCACAAACCGCATCAGCTGCACCCACACATGACACATCTTTCCTCACCACTAGTTCTCTCGTGACTACTTCACCAATAACATCAATTAACCGACCAGGTTTGTGCACACTTCATTTCATCGGTCTCAAGTTTAGATGGTTATAGTTACCGAAAATGTATACTAGACATAAACCTTATAAACATGTTTTAATCAGTTTCTGATTAAATAACTGTTTGAAACTTTAAACCTTTTTTTCTTTTGGGACAAAACCTACTTTAGTACATAAGAAACGCTTTAAACATCTTATTGGGACCAACCAACTAAACAATGAAATTGAAAAAAATAAATAAATCAATCAAAAGATAGCCTAGAAAAGCACAGGCACGAGCTCTAGGGTCAAATTTATGCCTATTCTTGGGTGAGGTTGAAGCATAACAAAGACATCCTAAAACTTTCAAATCATCATAGTTAGGAATTTTTTTTTTGTTAAAACCTCATAAGGACTTTTGTCATCTAAAACAGGAGCTGGAATACGATTAATAAGATGCACTGCAGAAAGAATACAATCTCCCCAATAAGATAGAGGAAGATGAGATTGAAAGAGAAGAGCACGAGCAACATTGAGAATGTGTTGGTGTTTTCTTTAAACAACAGAATTCTGCTGAGGAGTCTCAGGACAAGAATGAAATGGAATGATTCCTTTAGATTGATAAAAGGTAGTGAAATTAAATTCGTGAGCATTGTCAGACCTAACCCCCTTAACTCTAGTCTCAAATTGAGTTTCAACCATGTTTATGAAAGAAGGAAAAATATGTAAGACATCAGATTTATTTTTCATCAGATAAATCCAAGTGGCTCTAGAATGATCATCAACAATGGTTAAGAAATATCTATAACCATCATGAGTAGGGACAGAGAAAGGACCCCAAGTGTCTATATGGACCAACTCAAAAGGAATTTTTCTGATATTATTTTGAGAAACAAAAGGTATATGTTTTTGTTTTGCCAAATGACAAGTTTTACAATGAAAATCTTTTTGGATTTTTGGTTCCTTTTTAAAATTCAAAACATGAGAAAGAGACTGAAGTTTGTAAAAAGAAGGATGACCTAACCGTTTGTGCCAAAGATCATGAGAGATGACAGAAGCAGCAACAAAGGTAGGAGAATTGACTGGTTTATCTATTGACTCGATGTCCAAGAAATAGAGGTTAGCGACCTGTTTCCCCATGCCAATCATTAAGTCCCGAGAAAGATCCTGAAGAACACAAGAATTCTCATCAAACCAAATTTTACAGCCCATAGACTTAGTCAGACAACTGACACTTAAGAGATTGAATTTAAACTGAGGAATGTATAGAACACCATCAAGTACTAGATAACTACCCAGATGAACAGTTCCTATTCCAACAATGCTCACTATACCACCATTAGGAAGATTGACATTAGTGTCAGTGAGAGTTTGAAAAGTAGAAAAGGAAGATTTATCATGGCAGATGTGATTAGTTGCTCCTATGTCTATAACCCAAGCATTAATAGCAATGGTATTGCTAGTAATGGAATAAGCATAAGGCCTATCAGCACTGGTAAAAGAACATATGATAGAGGGAAAGAAGGTACCAGGTGCTGGGCCATTAGGTAAAGAAGAAGGGAGGGAAGACACTGAAACAGAGTGAACTTCAGGTGTGATGGTAGAGCTACTGATTCTGGAGTTGAGGAAGGAAACAATCTGCTGCATCTGATCTGTGGAGAGGTCATCTGTGATTTTGCCACTGTCCAAAACAGCATTGCTATCTGAAGATGAATCAGAGATGACATTTGCTGCAGTAGGAGTGGACTTAGAGAACTTGAAGCGAGGATGACCAACTGGATAACCATGCTTTTTGTAACACTTTTCAACAACATGTCCAGTGCGACCACAGAAGGTGCAGATAGGTTTGTCTCTTTTCTGAAACTGATAACCACCAGAAGAAGAGCTCTGAGAAGACTGTTGAGCAACTTGAAAAGCTGCATGATCCAGAGTAACAGATGTTAGATGAGTAGCAGATCTCTGAGAGTCATCTTGATCCAACAGGTTGTAAACTTCAGAGAGAGAAGGTAAGCTTTTCTTCATCAATATCTGGCTTCTAACAGTGTCATAATTGTTGTTGAGTCCCATAAGGAAATCAATGACACGATTAGTTTCTCTTTCAGCAACCAAATCTTCAACAGTTCGAGCAGTAACTTGAAGACTAGAGAGTTCTTCCCAAAGAGATTGCGTCTTAGTGTGATAAGACGATAAATCCATGCTCCCTTGACGAAGCGAGTGAATCTGTTGGCGTAACTTGTAAAGCCGTGGCAAATTCGACTTGTGATAGCGAGTATACAAATCATTCCAGATCTCTGTTGCAGTGTGAAAATACAAGATACTGGAATAGATCTGCTTAGAGACACTATTCAACAACCATGACTTGACCATGCTATTACAACGCTTCCATATCAGATAATAAGGATCAGATTCAATAGGCCGAGATATAGAACCATCCACAAATCCTAACTTGTTCTTAGCTTCGATTCTAGTAGTCATTGCCACAATCCAAGTTCCATAGTTTGTGCCATCGAGAAGATCAGGAACAAGAACCAAACCTGGATGATCGGAGCTGTGAAGATGATAGGGACTGTGAATGTTATCCGGAGAATCCGAGACCACAAACGGAGGAGGAAACGACTTAGACCGAGCAGTAAGAGCCGGAGGCGCAGATCCTGAGACAACACGCATCGGCGAGGAGCTACGACCTTTGTCGTGAGAGATCGGAGAATCAATTTCCGGTAGATCCGGTGTAGAGGAGCGATACTTCGATGTTGTCTTTCGTTTTCCCATTGAACTGAGCCGAAATCGAAATCGAGCTGAAGTTGATGAGAATCGAAAGAGAAGACGAAGCAAGAGAATCTACAACGATAGATCAGATCGGAATTGTGAATTGTGAATTTCGCCGGTGAACAAACTCTTTCCGGTGAGAAATGCGGAAGAAAAATATCGGAAAAAGTTAGAGAGAGGGAGAGCTATTTTGCTCTGATACCATTTTAGTAAAATACTCTCATTCTCATTCATTGAATAAAGTTACAATTGGGGGGTTTATATACATATTGACCAGGCCTAAACCAGAGCCTCTAAACCAATTAATCTACTCTATACAGACTCCAAAACTATAGAAATATATACAAAATGGTTATATACTATGATATCAATCAAAAGAGGAAATTAAACTGAACTTATACCTAATATTTTTTTTTGGTTTAAGCTTATACCTAATTAGATTAGCCAGATGAGACAACGTCAAACCCTAATAATGGTTCTAAATCCTTAAAAAAAAGTCCAAAATAAGAAAGAAAATAATTAAACCAGAGAACCAAATTTTAGAACTCAGTTGCAATACGTTCCACAAATGTTACGTACGACATCATGCATGTACTAGAGTTTTTTTTCATCAAATAAATGTCTTAAAGTTCCAAAACAAAACCACTTAGTCTCAAACTTTGTCTGATGGTTCGATCCAAAATAGCCAATGGAAAGGTCCCTACCTACTCCATGTCTGATTCAACGACAGTCCCGGTAATCACGGCGTCAGTGTCCAACTTAATTCGTTTTGCTGGTTGCTCATGAGCTTCTTCAGACACGACCAGATTAGTTTCTTCCTCAGAATTGGTACCAGAGCATTCACCTTCATCCCCTTCAGGCTCTTCGTTGTCCTCTTCCTGATTCTTCAGCTTCTCTATCACTTCCATTACATCTCTATTGACCTGTTCACACACATTTCCCAAAACTAATTAGTCAGTATATACATTTCCCTACACAAACACATTACTATTGACCAACTGTTACAGTGCATCAATTTGTAATTGTATTGACCTGAATGATGTTTACCTGAGGGTTCTGGAGAAAGTCAGAAATGTCAGTGGGACAAAGATGGCTAGGGCAGTTCATTACATTCTTCTGTGTGCGTAGTGTGCGTCCACCATTGTTTCTCTCCCTCATTAGAGTTATCCCAGAAAATTTAGCTACCAAACATGCCTTGCAGAAGTTATGACCACAAGGTGTTGTCACAGGAAGAGTCATCACTTGTCGACAAATCTCACAACTAAACTCTGCATCAACAAAAGACCAACAACGACAGTTTAGATGGTTTGAATATTCACTTGAGCCTCATTTCTAGAAATTGTTTAGAATTGCACACAGACTTTTCAGAAGTTTTCTCCTCTTTGAGTCTTTCGCCGCCATTTTACTAGCAGGTGGAGGCTTCATCCATCTCCAAAGACCCTTAACTTGCTGATCAAGTAAGCCTCTCATCAGTAAAGTATAGTGGGAGAGATAACAAATCACGAAATAAAATTCGCCAAACTGTTATGGTAAATGAAACTTACATCAAAATCCCATGATGGACTTTCTTGTCTCTCAAACAGGTCTGTGGCCATATCAAGCTCAGGAATATCAGGCAATGGTCTTGGACGATCTCCATGCTCATCGCTACAATAACTCACAAGCATTAAACTCAAAGGTAATATATATAGATAGATAAGGAGCACGCATTCAAGAAGTAGATCAGACCTGGTCCATGGAGCTGGGTCATTGTCACATCTAACAAACAGGAAACGACAGACCTTAAAAAAACCCTATATGGACCACACAAAAAGTAGGTCAAGGCAAAATTTAATAAACCCTATACAATTGTTAGCTTTATGTATATATGTGTACCTGTACTCCAACATTTCGCCAGCACTTCTCAATTCTGTAAATCCCATCATACCTCACTCCGTTCTCAGGGTTATATGGAGAACAAACCTTGTCTGACCTGATTATTATACATGGCATAAGGTAGCTTAAGAGTCAAGATTACTGAAGCAATCTTTAAAGTTGGAAAGTGAGAAAGATATTGCAAGCTAACCTGATAACTCGAACAGGATACCCACGCTCGCAACTAAGTCTTAAAGCTTTATTAGAATATGTGAACTCTTGATCAAAAGAATGAGTCTCATTAGTCCTTAAGTTGCCACTTAAATCTTTTCCCCCACTGCATGATACATCCACACATTAAGACAAAAAGAGACACAACATATCAGTAAATTGAAGAACATATAGACATTTATATACGCATGAGAGAAGTAAAATATACAGACCTTCCAGTATAGAGAAACCACTCTCCATGGTCCTTATCATCCACATAGCCTCCAGCGAGTACCACAGATTGTGCCCCGTGATCAGCCTGTCCCGCAATCCCGGCAATATGTGGGAAATGAACCCCCCACTGTCTACACTCATATCGGTTATTCCAACACTCCCCAACAAGAACACCTTGTTTCCTACGGGGATCATTTTCCGCTAGTATGGGACCAAAATGATCATTTGGAATGTTAACAAATATCTTGCCACTGGAAGCATTCGCGTTCCCATTTTTCTTTGCACGCTCCGTTGTAAATGCTTTATCTGGTAGGTCTTCGTTGCTAATGAAATGAGGACGGACCTTTGAAGTTTTAAAGCCTTTTGCTAAACGGATAGCAGAAACAATGGACAAGTTGATACGGGGATTTGTTGCCATTTCCTCAGGAACAATGGCACGACATTTTCCGCAAGTGCGCTTTGCCTGACCCATCCACTTCTGAAAATATTTCAAGCAAGCGTTGTGCCCACATGGTTTCTGCAAAAGAAACATACAAGATATCCATCAGCGGAGCCCTCACTTAACATTTATTACATATCCACTACTCATCAATAGCATAGAAGTCAATGATGTCTATAATGAATAAAGAAAAACATCTCATAAACGGCAACTAAACAACCTAACAACTATCTTACACATACACATATCAGTTCCTATAACATGTATCAACAAGTATATATATACAAACACCATCTTATAGCTAGCTCTCAACTAAACAATCCAACCCAAATATGAGGATAACTTAACATGTCTATTAACAGCCTATGTCTTTGTAAGTAAAGTGTACACATAAACAATCATAGTAAAGTGTACGCAACAGAGCTAAGAGAAAGAGAAGGTACCGTCACAGGCCGCTCAAGTAACTGTGTACAATAAGAACAAATAAGGTTCTTGTCAAGTGTGGATAACACATCTTCTTTTCCTTTTCCCTTCTTCTCTTCTTCTTCATCTTCAGCGACGGCTTTACCACTCACTAACCGTTGCCTTTTCCAAGCTTTCTCCTCGGTATTCAAAGACCCATCCGCCTCGATCGCGTGGATGGCCGCAACAAGATCTGACCCAACAGATCCGTGCCCGGCCGCAGCACCGGAAACATGAAGAGGATCGGTATCTCCAAAGCAATCGGGACAAAGCCACTGTAAAGTCGAGGCTAGGGTTTCGGGAGGAGACGAGAGGCATGACACGTGCCAAGGCGTACCGCAGGTGCTGCAAGTTATAGAATCCTCCGGCGGTGGTGTTGATTGGCATCGCATGCATACTCCGTCGTCGCACGGCAATTGGATGTTAAGAGAAGAAGCCATATCCTCCGATGAATTTGATGAAGAGAAAAGCCAAAAGATGAAAGATAGAGAGAGAGAGATAAGGTGAAAGCAAATGAAAAGTAGAGAGCGGGTTTTTAAAACAAAGAAAGGAGTTCAAATAAGGAATGATATTTCTTTTAGTCAAACAGAAAAAATAATTGTCCTACTTTATAATATTTACCATTGAATATTGACTAATTATGTATTTCAACATTTAAAGATAATAAAATAATTAAGAAAGAAATTATTATTTTATTATCTTTAAATAAATTAAGAAAGAAATAACCATTTGAACATTATGTGCTTATATATCATTTTACAATTAAAGCTTTTAATATACAATGCATCTTTTTTTCTTCTCCACAATTATCATAGTCATTAAAATCATAGTTTGATTATCATAGTCATTTTACAAAACTAGGTAATGTCCCGCGCACATGCGCGTGTTATTGTATATTTATTTAATTATTTTAATTTATTTCTTACTTATAAAAAATAGATTAAATAAATTTTAATGTTTATGAAATTTTTACATTTTATTTATTTAAATCATACAATAGAAGCATACATCCATATCTTTTGAATTTATTCGTTGATTAATTGTTCAATTTTGATAGTAATTTTCTTTAGTGCTTTTAAGTATTTTTTGATAAAACAATAATATTGTTAATGATAAAAATAGGAATGATATTGGGAGAATTTAAAAAATACCCTTTTAAAAATACCACTTTTTAAATTTACCCACTTTTCAAACTTTATCAAAACAACCACTAAAAATGTTAAAATTTATCCATATATGTGTGTAAACTTATAAATATACACACAAATTACCTTTATTTGTGTATAAAATTTTATTTATTTCAATGTCTTACAAATTGGTTTGAATATAACCAAAAATTATTTTGTTAAAATAATTACATACTTTGAAAATAAAATAAATATACATGAATTTGTGATAAAGAAAAAAACATATAAAGTAAAACAATGAAGATAGTTTATTTAACTTGATTTTCTTATGGTGCGATGGTCAGAAATCAATATTTTTGAATCCCATCGATAAAGGAATTTCCTTATAACCATAAAATATTATTATACAAATGTATTATATATTTAATAGTATAAAAACAATGAAAAAATAAAGAAGTGCATAAAATAAAGAAGAAATATAATTGAAAACAAAAGTTTTAACCAAATATATAATCAAGCTCTTACAATGATATCTTAATTTGAGCTTTCAACCCATGCAAGAACATTAAAAATTAAACAAAGAAAATATTGAGAATATGGTGGAGGAGGATGTAAAAATGAGTGTTTATAGGATAAAATATGATGTAAGTTATAATTCTAAAATAATTAAATTAGAGGAGTTATAATTATATTTTATAGTGTGTTAATTGAAATTGAATGGAGGAAACAAATAGTCAATTGAAAGGTTATATAATTTAAGTTACAATTTAATAGTAAAGCGTGGATTTCAAGTATGAATTAAAGTATATGACTAAATGTGTTAGATATTTGGTTTAATTAAAAATAAATATTATAATCGAAAAATAAATTAAATGGACCAATAAGGAGAAACCTTAAAAAGTTCCCAAAGAATAATTTTATTTTTTAATTTGTTTTTATATTCCTCTTAATTTAAGCTATATCTGTAGGTTTAATTATATTTTTCATCGTTGTAGTATATATAATAGATAGAAAATTGAATATTAAATTGTTTTTTATATAGTAAATCAAGTATAAAATTCAAAGTTAACAAAAATTATAATGTTGTTTATATTATTACATGTTGAATCACAAACTAAATATAAGGATCATTATTCTTAAAAGAATGTCTTACAAATTGGTTTGATAATTATATAACAAAAAGTTTATTTTGTTAAAAAATAACATACTTTTGAAATTAAAATAAATTTACATGAATATGTGAGAAAGAAACAAACATCCAATGTAAAATAATGAAGATGGTTTCTTTAGCTTGATTTTCTTATAACCATAAAATATTATTATACATATGTATTACATTAAAAAATATAAAAAACAATGAAGACGTAAAGAAATACATAAAAACAAAAAATAAATAAAATTGAAAACAAAAGTTTAAACTAAATAATTAATCAAACTCTTACAATGATATCTTTGTAACTCTTGCAAGAACTTTTAAAAAAAACAAAGAGAATAATGAAGATATGAGATATGGTAGAGAAGATGTGAGAATGACTATTTATATGATAAGAAGTGATGTAAGTTACATTTTAAAAATAATTAAATTAGAGGAGTTATAATTAAAATTTATAGTGTGTTTAATTGGAATTCAATAAAGAAAACCAATAGTCTTTGGAAATTTATATAATTTTCAGTTTCATTTTAGTAGTAAAGTGTGAATTTAAAGTATGAATTAATGTATATGATTAAATATGTTTTTTTGGTTTAATTAAAAATAAATATTATATTTTAAAAAATAAATACAAAATGGAACAATAAAGAGAGTGAAACCTTACTTTTATATATATGATTTTAAATAATTTTTCACCAATAAGCCTTATAAAATTTGTTGTATGATATATGATTAAGTCCTTTCATTTTCTTTGCTATATGATTATAACTTATAGTGTAATTAAATTTTGTATTGAATGATTGTCTTAAACATTTATTTATTTATTTATTTATTTATTTTGTTGAATGATATATGATTAAGTCCTTTCATTTTCTTTGCCATTTGATTATAACTTATAGTGTAATTAAATTTTATATTGAATGATTGACATAAACATTTATTTATTTATTTTAAAAAAGAAATTAAAGCTTTAAATATTTTTCCACCAATAAGGAGAGAGTGAAACCTTACTTTTATATATATGATTATGTGACTGTCTTTGTTGGATTTGTAGAATTCAAGAGAATAAGATTAAGAACAATTATAAAAAATTACTCTCTATATTTCCTTACTAAAATCTCTCAAAACCTAAAGCTCTCTCAATCTCTCTTTCTCAAACCTAAAGCTTAGCACCTCATTATATGAGAAAAGAACTAGATAATATTTCCTAATCCTTTTAGGAAAACACACAATTATATTTGTATAACTCCCAAATACAAAGTCTAATCCTAATCTCCGTTTAGCTTGGTCTTCAAGCTTTCTTCCCATGAAACATTTGCCCATGAAAAGTTTTCACCGCATCAATAGCTTCTTCAGGAGTGATGAGAAACACACAAATCCAAACCCCTTGCTTTTTCCCTTTATCATCACACATTAGTCAGGTGGTAGCTCTCATGCTGTTTTGGAACGTTGCCTTGTGACTTGTGAGTTGTGAGATGAGATCATGAGTCATAGGTGACATTGCTTTCTCCTCAAGAAATTGTTGTTATTATATGAAATAAATACAACTATTAATTAAACAAACTCTCATCATTTCTTTCTCTCCAGTCTTCTAATTAAATACACATATGTGAAAATAGTTTTCGAAATTGAACATTGTATGCAACGGTAACATTCTTAACACTAAGGAGAAAAAAAAAATTAAATATGTAATGTAACGGTAATATTTTGTTTTACAATCTAAACTCTCACATTCTCTTTATATACGCTTTGCTTCTTCATTAATAAATCAAACCCTAGAATCCTCTTTACTTTTATGAAAATCCTCTCTGTAAAAAACTCTGTTTCTTAATCGATCGGTGGTTGCTTCCGAGAATCTCTTACAATGGTGGTTCTGTTCTAATGAATCGGATCGTCGGAGTGAAGAAGGTCCGGTGACGGAGACGGAGACAGAGATGAAATTGATGGCGTTGTGGGAACTCTCAGGCCTCATCACCGAGTAATGAGATCTGCTCTGTTTTTTAAAGACAACCTTGGGCTTCACGGCTATGTTAATCTCCAATCTCATACCGATGTTCTCAGGTTATATATCTCTCTTTCGTTGTATGTTTAATTCAAATCTGTTAGGTCTTAGCCTCTTAGGTAAGTTAGGGTTCATCCATATCACCGAGTCGTGACCGTTGCTCTGTTTTGGCTTAAAGAGTCTTCTTTTTTTATTTTTCCGGTTCGGTGACGAAGACGGAGACGTAGATGAAGACACAAAAGGTCATCTTGATCAATTACGTTGACGGCACGGTTCCGGTTCTTTTCTTAGTTGTGTCTCGAGGTAACTTGGAACGATACTCTCCTTAATTTTACCGCATCCTCTTTTTTTCTTTTAACCAAGGTTCTTTACTTCTTTTACTTTCAGATCTTCAATCAATCAAATGTTTTAAAAATTGAGGTTTTTCACAAATAATAATTTTGTAAACATTTTTAACTTCACTAAGTTTTATTTTACGATATACGATTTTTTTTAAAAAAAAAAAGACTTAAGTGTTCAATTTTAAAAACGTGAGAACAAACCAGATTTCGCATCCGGTCCATAGGATTTCCTATGGTTTGTTAGAGGTGTTAGAAGTTTAACATGTTTTCATGTAATGCAAATTTAACACTTAAGTTTGTTTTTTTTTTTGAGTTATTTTTTTGGATTTTTGACTAAATTTAATTTTTTTATCAAAACATATTTTTTGTAACCAAGGTTCTTTACTTCTTTTATTTTCACATCTTCAATATTGAGGGTTTTCACAAATAATAAATTTCGTAAACATTTTTCACTTCACTAAGTTTTATTTTATGATATACATTTTTTTTTCTAAAAACTAAACTTAAGTGTTCAATTTTAAAAACATGAAAACAAACCAAATTTCAATTTTCACATATATGTTTGACACCTTCGCATTCATCTTCTGTTCTTTTTGTTTTTCTTCAAATTGTTTCCTTAGAAGTTGCTCCCGTTCTGACTTCTTCTGTGCCCTTCCTATATACAAACTCTTTGAACCATATTGTGTTCTTCATAGTTTCTGTTGCATCCTCTGATTTGTCAAAGTTCACAAATGCATATCCTTTACAGAATCCATCTTCATCCTTAGCCATTGATAGGCTAACAATTTTCCCAAACTCTGAGAACTTTCCCCTTAAAGAGTCCTCATTGACATTTACATCTTGATTTGACTCATGAACTTTCCAACATAGATCTTCTTGTCAGCAACTTAATATACAATGCAGATTTTTTATTCCTCTTTAATACAAAAAAAATGATAGCAATTAATAGATTTAATCTTTAAGGCAATGGCTTACACGGGCTTGCTGACTAATGTAGTGATGGTATAAAGAATACAAGCTAAGAAAATAGAAAATTACATTGAATTAATATATTTAAACATTGGTATTTATGTAGAAGAAGTCTTAAGACTCATAAGAGTGATAATAACAAATCTATCAAATAGATTTACTAATGCATAGAAACCTTGGAGCAATCACATAATACTTAAACAACAAGATTGTTGTTAGTTTGAAGAGATGAAAAAACACAATCAATTACGGTTAGGTTATGTCACCATTTTCCTAGCTTTCTTTACAGCCTACGCAAATTTTCGCCCTCCAAATTGGCTCTGTCTCGAACTAATGTGCCACTTGCACAGTTGCACTTTTGTTTTCAACCAGACCATGCATTCATATCCAAAAGCTACGTTTAAATTGCTATCTTCATTATTTTCTACTACAAAACTATGATCATTTGTATTTGACTTCACGGTTTTCCTTTAAAAAATCATCATATCTCGTTTACAAAAACCACAACTGAATAATTAATACTCAAAAATGAATGAATAATGATGAATTTGGATAAGAAGAAGGAGTTAAGGCAAGCGAGCGTAAACGAAGAAGAAATTAAAAGATGGGTTCCTCCAAAAAAAGATCTCTTTCTGGCCCTGACTCTATGTCCGCCTCGGCCTCTACGTAGAGCCAGGGCTAGAGAAAGATCTTTCATTAGAGGAACCCACCTTTGAGTTTCTTCCTCATTTACGTTTGCTTGCCTTAGATTCCTTCTTCTTATTCATAATTAGACAGGATACATGCCGCAACTGAGAGATTCCTCAGGCAGAGGCTGGGATTTGCATCGCATGCATACACCTTTGTCTTAACAGGGAGTTGGATGTCACAAGAAAAAGCCATATTTGATGAATCTAATGATGATAAGGTGAAGAAAATGAAAAGTGAGGAGGAGTCTTTAAAAAGAGAAATAAGGGATTCAAATAAGGAATGATATTTTTTTTAGTCAACAAAAAAAAAAGTCTCTAACTATACAATATTTACTACTCAAAATGGACTAATTATGTATTTCAACATTTAAGATGGCAATATAATTAGTATTTTATTATTTTAAAATAAATTAAGAAAGAGTTGAAAAAAAAAATTTTAAGAAAGAAATATTCATTTCAAAATTATGTGGCTTATAAAATATTATTTTACCAATTTTTTAATATACAATGAATCTTTTTATTCCTTTTTAATACAAAAAGTGATAACAATTAATAGATAAAAATCTTTTAAGGGAATGGACTTGCTGACTAATGTAGTGATTGTATAAAGAATACAAGGAAATGGAAATCAACATACTGATTTCACTTATTTGAACATTGATATGTCGAAATTAAACCTAAGTTAGTGTGGATGTTTAATTACGGATGTCGAAACTGCATGTTACTCAGTGAATATATCGTTTTTACACTAACTGTTTTGTAAATTAATTTTAAATTTTTAGCAAATATTTTGAAACTAGCATGTTATTCAATAACCTTTAACATATATAACGTTGTTTCTTTGATTTTATATTTACGAAAACATTTTCCAGATGCTGTCAAGAAATCTAAGTACGTGTGTTTTGTAATTATGCAGAGTGTAACACTGTCCATCATCTGCAGAAGCAACTGTTTATGTAGTTTTGTGTCAAGCTTGAAAGAAAAATTATAGAATACTTTTATGTTTCTTCATCTTACAAAATATGGGAGATGAACCCAGGAAGACGACGTATGTAGCAAGTTAGAGAGAGATAAGTAAGAGAAGATGCAACGTCAATAAGTTATCAAGGTGAGGTAACGTCAAAGCTTTTTCCTCAAACCAGAAACCAACGTTTACGTTCTATATTTAGAACTCAGTTGCAGCATAATCCAACATAATAGGTACTAAGAGTTTTTGGTACCAAATAGTCTCAAACTTTACCCGATAGTTAGTTCCAAAAAAGCCATTGGAAAGGCTCCTACTTACTTACTGCATTGCCTAGTTACACAACAGTCTCAGAAACTGCTGCGTCGGTGTCCAACTTAATCCGTTTCTTCGGTTGCTCAGCTTCTTCAGACGCAACCAGAGTTTCTTCTTCAGCGTTGGTACCTGAGCCTTCCCCTTCTTCAACTTCTGGCTCTACTTCCTCTTCCTGGCTTTTCAGCCTCTCTATCACCTCCATTACTTCTCTATTGACCTGTTTACACACAATTGCGATTAGGAAGCATATAATTATATCAGCTGAGAGAGTATTCCTCAATTTGTATGATCATAATAATGGTAAGTAGCGAATGATCAGATTTGCTACAATTTCACTTCTCCATGAATGGAAAGCATCAAATAAGTGAATGGCATACTTAAAATCCACTCAATATTTATAGTTTATATAAGCTTCAGGATAAACCTTTTCCTACAGAATCAGATTACAATATTTGATGATACTGGCACTTAGCTAAAAGCAGATAGATTTCCATTGACCAACTTCATCTAGTTCTAGCATAACCAAAATCAATGTTAATGCAATTTGCAACTGTATTCATATGATATTTACATGAAAGAAGTGTGCTATGTTTACTGCAGAAACCATTGCAACAAGAAGATACGATGATGTTTACCTGAGGGTTTTGGAGAAACTCAGAAATGTCAGTGGGGCAAGAAGGGCAGTTCATGACATTCTTCTGTGCACGTAGTGTGCGTCCACCTCTGCTTCTCTCTCTCACTAGAGTTTTCCCAGCAAATTTGGATTCAAGGCATGCCTTGCAGAAGTTATGAGCACAAGGCGTTGTCACAGGAAGAGTCATCACTTGGCAACAAATCTGGCATTTAAACTCTGCATCAACAAAAACCCAAAGACAATTTATAAAGAAGAGCTGAATATATCTGGGTCATATACATGTTTACTTTATCAGTTACGTTAACCATTTTGGAAACATTGACTGCCTGATACTAAAGTTTCCATAGAATCATAGCTTGAGCATCCAAGTACAAAGCATATAATATTTACTAGAACAGATAACTTCAACATGTTCAGGAAGGGCCAATCTAGAAATATAAACAGAATGCACCAGAACTTATTCGTCAACAAGGGAATAGTCAATGAACATTATAACAGCAGAAGTATAGAATTTACACAGACCTTTCAGAAGTCTTGCCCTCACGGTATTCGAGTGTGCCGCCTTTATAGCTTTCCTCAAACTTTTTCTCTCCTCAGGATCCAAAACATTCACGGACTTTTTACTAGCAGGTGGAGGTTTTATCCATTCCCATTTACCCTTACCTTCCTGATCCAGTAAGTTAATTATCAGTAAATACCAACTTATATAATTGAGATAACATATAATAAACAGGCCTAAAAAAGAAAATTGATATCTGCTCACTCATCAACTTTTATAATTGAGACATGATGAATTGGAACTTACATCAAAATCCCATGATGGACTTTCTTTTCTTTCAAACAGGTCTATTGCCATATTAAGCTCAGGAATATGAGGCAACGGTCTTGGGCGATCTCCATGCTCATCACTGCAATATATATCTTAGCATTAAACTCAAACGGAATATTTATAGAAAAAGCGCACGCTTTCAAGAAGTAGAACAAACCTGGTCCATGGAGCTGGGTCATTGTCACATCTAACAAACAGATAACGACAGACCTTAAAAGAACCCTATGGACCACAGAAAAATAGGTCAATGGATACAAAAGGAACAGGGAAAATTTACAGTTGCTAGCTTTATTATGTATACCTGAATTCCAACTTTTCGCCAGCACTTCTCAATCCTGTAAACCCCATCATATCTCACTCCTTCCTCAGGGGCATATGCAGAACGCTTCTCCTTGTGAGACCTGATTATATATGGAAATAGGTAATTAAAAAGTTAAGATCACTGCAGCAAGCTTGAAGCTTCAGGTTGAAGAGTGGGAAAAATATTGCGTGCAATGCAGCTGTGTTTGAATAAGAACTTACCTGACAACTCGAACAGGGTACCCCAATTTGCAACTGAGTCTTAAAGCTTCATTAGATTTCTTGAACACTTGGTCAAAAGACTGATCCTTGTTAGTCCTTTTGTTGCCACTGAGATCTCTACCCCCACTGAAATACACATCCACACATAATCAAAACAAAAACTGACAGGCTATCAGTAAACTGGAGAATAGCTACTTCTTTCTATACACAAGAGAAGTAAATTATACAAGATTATTTAAGGAAACAAATCCTAACCCGTCACTAGAATAAATCAAATGGACCAAAAGCTATGAGAAATGAAAAACAGACCTTCCTGTGTACAGAAACCATTCTCCATGATCCTCATCATCCTCATAACCTCCAGAGAGTGCTACAGACTGAGCACCATAACTTGCTTGTCCAGCAATGCCAGAAACATGTGGGAAGTGAGCCCCCCACTGCCTACACTCAAGTCGGTCTTCCCAGGATTCTCCAACTACAACACCTTCGCCCCTAACAGGATCATTGTCAGCTGGTATGGGACCAAAGTGGTCAGGTGGTATTGTAACATAAATCTTGCCACTGGCAGCATTTGCCTTCCCTGTTTTCTTTGCGCGTTCAGTTGTATATGCTTTATCTGGACGGTCTTGGTTGCTCACAAAATGAACGACCTTTGAAGTACCCGCAGCAGCACTTTTAGAGACTCTTGCTAACCTGATAGCAGAAACAAGGGAAGAATTGATACGAGGGTTTCTGGCCATTTTCTCAGGAACTATGCTGCGGCATTTTCCACAAGTACGTTTCCCCTGACCCATCCACCTCTCGAAACATTTCAAGCATGCATTGTGACCACATGGTTTCTGAAATAAAAACAAACAAAATATCCATCAACCCTTCTTAATATACCCATCATCTTTATAAAAAAAAAAGACTTATTTTGAGTGGAAGTTAACACTTATAAAGTTTTTCCACTCCTAGTCCTACTACAGAATGTACAGTTCATCAACTTGTCTAAAATGAGTATAGAAAAACATCCCATAAACGGCAACTAAACAACAATATAGAAAAGAACAACCTTCAACAAAAGCGTACACATACCACTTATCAACAAGTATATTAACACATCTCAACTAAACAATCCAACCCAAAAGGGGTAAACACAGGATAACTTAACAAGTATATTAACAATCATGAACTATAAATGTAGCTAAACATTGACACAGTTTGTCACAAATGGTAAGCACAATCAAGTCTCTGTCATTGTAAATCAGGAAAAGGAACGATTGATTGTGCCAAAACAGTCTCTATGCCTTTCTATCACTCAGCTTAACTATGGTATGTCACAAGCTGGAATCAGTAAATCAACAGTACACATCAAACAATCACAACCAATACTAACACAGATTCGAGTAAAGACACTAAATTAACAAGCATCAGAACAAAGACAAAGAGAACGAACCGTCACAGGACGCTCAGGCAACTGCATACAGAACGAACACATCAAGTTATCTCCAAGAGCAGATAACACATCGAGATTCGCATCTTTCCCTTTACCCTTCTTCTTCTTCTCTTCTTCGTCACACTCATCAACACCTTTACCACTCAGTAACCGTTGCCTCTTCTTAGCCTTCTCATCAGCACTCAAAGTCTCATCCGCCTCAATCGCGCGGATCGCCGCTACAAGATCTGAACCAGCATCGCCGTAGCCAGCCGCAGCGCCGGAAACAGGAAGAGGATCGATATCGCCGGAGCAATCAGGACAATGCCACTGTAAAGTCGAAGCTAGGGTTTCGGGAGGAGACGAGAGACAGGACACGTGCCAAGGAGTAACGCACGTGCCGCAAGTGAGGGATTCTTCCGGCGGTGGTGTTGATTTGCATTTCATGCATACACCGTCGCCGTCGCACGGGAATTGGATGTCACGCGCCATTTTCGCCGAAAAGATCTGTGAGAGAGAGAGAGAGAATGGTGTTTCCGAGAGAATGAAGAAGGTTTTAGAGAGAATTTGGGGATTTTTTTTTTGAGCGAGAAAGTGAAGAGGCGGGTTTTTAAAATATTTGGGAAATTCAAAACGACACCAAAACTTTTGGGTCAAATCGTATATCGTCTTCCATATACCTATGTGTTGTCTTGTCTACTAACTAGGTTTATTTATTTATTTTATTAGCATTTCTGACTTTTTTTTGAAAGAAACAATAAAGACAGGGTTCAAATTGAATGATTTTAAAAATCAAAAATCTTTTATCCGAAATTTTCTACTATCTAAACCGTATATCCTAATATATTAATTGAAAAATACACAAATAAAAATAAATTTATTAAATAGAAAAATTTTACATTGAAATGCCAATAAAAAAAGTTTTTAGAAAAAAATACACCAAAAATAATATAGATAATTAAATAAATAATTAAACAAATTAAATATATAAAATCGTAAAATAATCTATAACTAATTATAAAATCGCAGAATTATCTAATAAATATATTATTTGTTTAGATTTACACGGCGTACATGAATATTCATTTAACAATAATAATAATAATAAAATTACAAATCAGTATCATATATATTTATTTGTTATTTTGATTTTTCAATAAAAACTTTAAGGGACATTTTAAAAAATATACTATTTTTATTAAAAAAATTGACAACTACACTCTATATTATTGTTATTTGAAAACTATACTTTTTTAAAATCAAAACAGACAAAAATACCTTTTTATTTAATAACTAGTATTAAATAAATTTACTAAAACAATAAATTTTAATTTTATAAATATACTAGTTTAGTACCCGTCCGATAGACGGGTTATATTTATTTAAAATTAAATTAAAATTAAAATTAATTATAACTTATAAAAATAATTTCCAATTTTTTTTTTGAAAAAATAAGAGAAACTAATTTCATTTGAAAAGAAATTTTATTTGGTTTAAAGTATCAAATAAACGTGTATATATATATATATATCTCTTAAAATTCGTTATTAAACGTTAATTATATAAATCTAGTAATGTCAAATTAACAATCATCAAAACATTTGGGAGCTATTTGGGATCTATTCATCATTACTCATAATATTGCTATAATATTTTAAAAAATCTTAATTTAGCAATTATCCTCTAAAACATGATTATACCATTTTGTAAAAAAATTTATTTCTTAACTTTCAATTTTTCAAAAAATCATTCTCTGACTATGAAAATTAATTAATTATTATTTAATATGATGGTAAAGTTCTTTCAAATTAACATCAATCTAAAATATGATGTTAAATACAAATATATTCAATTGTAAATAAATTCATATAAACAACGCAAATAAACATAAAAATACTATTTTCTTTAAGAAACTACATATTTTCTTTAAAAATATTTTAAAATTATTATATTACGATTTATATTGAACTTTGTTATCTTTAATTTAAGGTGAAAATATTATTTTCGAAAATCTTTTATTCACCCTTGTGTTTTCGACAATGAAATTGCTCAATGGCATAATACATTCATACATAAATTATAAATTAAAGAAATATAACATATTATAAAATAAAAATCATGAATAAAATTGGGGGATTTGGGGGATTTGCATAACTAAACTTTTTATGCTACTATTTTCTACAAATACCCTCTGTAGATGTCCATGTTCAAAAGTACCCTCTTCAATATACTAAATTACTCTCCTTTATTATAACCCATGATGAAGAAAGGAATATATTTTTCAACAAAAAATAATATTCCTTCCGAAAAATTTCCCGCCAAATTTTCCCGCCAAAAAACTTTTACCGCCAAAAAATTTCCGAAAAATAATTTCCCGCCAAAAAATATCCATTTTAAAAATATCCCTTTTCAAATATGAAAAATTGTAAACTTTTATATAGATAATAAGGTACATCTAGATCATCATTACTATTGGGAGACTCAATACAAATATTTATAAAGATTTTAAAAAGACTCTAAACGGCATATAAATCATTTAATAAAAACTTTTGTAAACTTCTAAAACCCTTTAAAATTAGAGTTTTACTTGACACTTTATACCCAAACCAACAAATAACCTGGTTTAATTGTAAAATTAAAGTTTAAACCTTAATCCTCTTCTGTAAACAAAAATCGCCATATATTCTTGTTAAATATAAATTTTAAATCTCTATCTTATTAATAAACCAAATTGACATAACTGAAATTAGGTTATCTATTTAATTTTATTAATAATTTTTAATATATAATTCTTTATAATATTTATTTTATATATTTCCTTTTTCGATAGGGTTAATAATATTTCTATTTTATCCAAATATTAACAAAATTAGTTATGCCACGTGTAAACATCTTATCGTTTATAATTGACACGTGTTACTATCTTGTTAATGGCTGACTTTGAAAACCAAGGTTTATATAATAAGATTTAAAATTTAATTTTAATATCGTACTAATATTTTTAATAACTAAAAATTATAATATTTTTTTAATTAATAATTATATAAAATTTTCAATCAATACAAATATGAAAAAATTGATGGCCAAATTTTAATTTATTAAAAAATATGTAATTTAAGATTATGCAATCAATAATATAGATATTTGATAGACTTATTCTATTTAATGTTGATTTATTAATAAGGTTGATATTTTGAACTATTTGATTTGTCTATTTACTTATGTTGACTTGTTTTTATTGTTGTTGATTTGTATTACAAGAGTCGACTTATATTTTGTTTCGTTGTTTTTTATACTGTCGACTAATTTATACCGTTGACATATTTGATTTTTTTTTGTTAATTTAAAAATATTTTGGTCGATTTGTTTAGTGTTAGTAGACTTATTTCCTTTTTATATTGACTTTTCAATTTAGTTGACTTTTAGAACTGTCGACTTATATATTATCTCTGTCGGCTTAAACTTTGTTGTTGTTAACTTATATTACAAGAGTCGACTTATACTTTGCTTCGTTGTTTTTTAATACTATCGACTTATTTATATTGTTGACTTATTTGTTATGTTTGTTGATTTTAAAAAAATATTTGGTCGATTTGTTTGGTCTTAGTAGACTTATTTCATTTTTATATTGACTCATTACTTTGGTTGATTTTTAGAACTGTAGACTGATATATTATGTTACAAAAAAAAATGACCCGTATTGAACTATGAGATTAATAATATTATAATCTCCTATATAGTAAAAAAGGAGTACACTTTTCCTCCAAAAAAATAAAAAAACAAATTTACAGAAAAACCATTCGTAAAACATTCGCTAGAGAGCGTTAACACTTACTCAAAGGGTACTTAAATAATTTTGCCCAAAACGGGTCGGTTCAATCCATGCCAAATTACCCGACTTAGGCAATTGGATATCTTAAAACATTAGCTTCCAAGTCTTCCGGCTCCTTCCACGAAATAATAGGAGATTTTAAAATATAAGCAAAAGGATGTTATGGCCCATTTAGATGCCCTTCAGATTCAAAACGGAAGACTTTGGCCCATATGTGGCAAAATAAGACTTTGGCCCATATGTGGCAAAATCTAAACTTGCACGTAAAGTAAAATATCAATCCCTGCTATAGTAAAAAGAGAAGTACACAAATTTTTCAGGTCGGGTTTTGTAAAGAAATTGATCCGGAATTTTCAATTAGATATTTCAAAATTGGATATTTGATTAGGTTTGGATATAAAATCGGATACTTCCCCTGTAGACTATATTATTTCCAAATCCAAATTTGGGTTTCCTAATATTACTTTAACTAATTAAAAAGAAATATTAAAAACAATTATTATTCTCCTTTCATCTTAATTTGATTTGATTTTTAATTTACTATATTACAATATATAATACGAATTTATAATAAAATTTAACATTTTCTTACATATGTTGCAATTTGAAATTTTCAAAGCGGACATATATTACTCGATTGACAAAAATAAAGTGTATGTACAACGTCCCACATCGGCTAAAATATTTTTGGAAATAGTTCAGATCATTATAAATAAGACCAACATGTTTCGAACTACGATGAACACTAAACTTGATTTATCATGCATGCAAATTTAAAAGTTTTATTTGGTATAAACCGGTTTTAAGTTTGAACAAATTAAATTTTTCTGAAAGCTTCAAAATATCATAATATTTAAATTTTAAAATGTATAAAATATTAGAAATTTTAAAAAGTTCAAATATTATAAATATTAACTGATAATTTTGCAACGGGTCAGAACTTATATTAAAATTATTGATAATTTTGCAACGGGTCAGAGTATAATACACACCACTTAAGTTTTACAACCAAATACTTTGTAATACCAAATCTTATATAAATATGATTTAAAATCATATAGAAAATTTATTCACTTTTTGTGAACACTTATTATTAAAAATATATTAGTTATGTACCCACCAAAATTTAAACTATATGGATTAACGAAAAAGAATAATTACCCTCATTCCCAATTGCAACTATTTAATCAATAATGTTTATTTATCATGAAAAATTATCAATACAACTAAAAAATCTCTCCCTAAGAAAATGTTTTTCTTAATAAAAAAAACAAGTCGAAACTTTTCCCCCGCGCTGTAGCGCGGGTCCGACTCTAGTTTTTATTAGTAATATCAACTCAAACCCTTTACATCTTACAACTCGTCCCCTCATATTATATGTTGGAAACATATTACAACTTTCCCGTCTTAAACTCCGTCATGTCATATAACCGCCAAAAGACTAAACCCATGTTTTAAAAAAGGAAAAAATATATCTACCTACATGAATTATGCTACAATACATGTTCACACATTCGAAGTTTAAAAATGTATCTCTAACTACACAAACTATATGTATTGCATTCCCATATATATGAACTATATGTAGTCATGTCGCCAACATCACGAACATTTTTTCCGGTACACTTTTGGCCGGAATCCGGCATTGACCCGTTTGACCGGCGTTGACCAACACAAATATTCAAAAAAAGATTT